TTTGCTATTTCGATTCCAATCTAAGTTAATTTAACCGTTCTTTGATTGAATCTGTCTCTCGTTACTCAATTCCTCTTTTCCTTTGTCGTGATCTATCTGGTTAGTGTTTTAATTCGTGATTTTTCTGTTTTCGGATTCTTGTTTCTGATCCCTTTTATGGGATTGTTTAGAAAATGCGTTCGTTTCTCGAAATCGCTTTGGGTAGGCTTAGGCTTACATTTCTACGGTTTTTGTATTTATTGGGAATCAGTGTTTAGTTTAAATCTGTGTTTCCTCAAACCCAAATTTTGATGACTTATTGATGTTTGAGATTCTTAGTTAAGAAGCTAATCACATTTATCAAAATCCAAATTTGCTCAAAAACTCTAACTTTTTTGTTCTTTGTTTGTGTTCCAGATTGATTTTAATCTTCGTGTTACAAGCAAAGCTGCTTGCTTGATTGATTTCTGTGAAAAAAATTGTTATAAGTTGAGTTCATGTTTCTGTGATGTACATTTATTTTTGCTGTTTAAGTAATTGAAGCTGTTTGCTTGATTTATCTCTGTTACCAATTTACCAGGTTATGATATCTAGAGAAAGTTGAGTTAATGTTTCTGTGATGTATCTTTAGTTTTTCTCAATAGTAATGTTATATGTTTCTGATGATTTGCCATGGTTACAGAGAGAGTTCTAGTTATAGAAGAGACGAAAAAGGATGAGTGGTTTTAGAGCTTTTAAAGCAAAAGTTCCCATTGAATGGAGCCAGAGCTTGTACATTACCTTAGTGAGAGGTTTCCCAGGAACCAGGAAGCTTCACAGGCGAACTCTTGAAGCTATGGGACTTAAAAGATGTCATCGTACTGTTTTGCACTCAAACACTTCATCCGTTAGGGGAATGATTCAACAGGTTCTGCTATGTTTTTTATCAGCTCTCATTTGTCATTTACCTCTGTCTCTCAAGGATAATGCTGACTTTAAAAAGTGTGATTTTCGTTGTTTATGCATGAACGCAGGTTAAGAGGATGGTTGTTGTTGAAACAGAAGAGATGTACAAAGCTCGCAAAGAGGCAGAAGCCAACCACAAAGCTTTGCGCCCGCCTCTTGTTGTCAGTCATTCAAGCCCTGCAACAGAACCATCCAACATGTCTTGAATACTTTCACTAAATGGTAAGCTCTTCCACCGTCACCTTCGATAAGATCCAGTTGAATTTGTAGGCGTCTTAAATTTAAGATGTCCAGGAAGTCATAAGTAACTAGTCCTAGACGCTTCATATAAAATGTTGGTATCAGTATGTTTGGTGCCTCTTTATGTTTTTGTATACACTGAATCCTTGTGTATCATTGCTCTCATTTTGTCGATCTCAAATCCATCGGTTTGTTTATCTTTTGTGGCCACTGTTTCAAGATTTGGAAGGGGGTGCATTTGGTTCTGTTTTAGTTCCAGATTTTGGTTAGTAACAATGGTGATTAGGTTTACAGGGTTTTGCAGTCTAACAATGAACTAAGTTTTTGACATATACACTTGTTCGTGAATTGGTTACCGTCCTGGGTTGCGGTTGATAAATCTAAAGGTTTAGCTTTCAATTTGAGTAGTGAAAATACATATTGAGCAAAAGATGGATGCGAAAACAGTCTCATAACTTTATATGTGCTATAAAACAACCCTTAAAAATCACTTATGACAAACTTTGTAATGTATACAAGAATCAAAATTGGAACAAAAATACCTTTACTGTGCAACTATG